TATTGTATTGTATTGTATTGTATTGTATTGTATTGTATTGTATTGTATTGTATTGTATTGTATTGTATTGTATTGTATTGATTCAGTGAAATTATGTCAATACAACAGGCTAGTGAAGATTTGACAGTTGAATGTTTTTATAGGAATGAAAAAAACTAAAGAAAATGTTATAATGAGAAGAAAACTGTAGTTATCAGATATTTGCAATTTAATTAGTGAAACATGGTTTTCTAGCTTACAATATTTTATTATTTTAATCAACATAAAATAAAAGATCAGTTGAATACAGATAACCATTTTTAATATCTGAAAGGCTAGCTAGCCCAACATGTGTGATACTAAGTGTAGTTTTATTATACTTTATTTATTCTGTACTTATTTAATACATATACTGTATATTTAATAATATGTATGAGATCTAGAAATGCTATTAATTAAAAATTCATTGAAGGATGTTAAAAGTTTCTCTCAGCTAAGTCTATAAATAAAAGTTTTGCTACTGGCTTTGAGTTACTAAACCAGGGGTGTCAAACTCAATTTCATTGAGGGCTGCATCTTGGGGAGCCAGGGACCCCATGGCTGGGGTCAGTATGGCCAGCTCAATGTCACTTGTGTTGGGGGTGCTCTGCCAGTGAAAACGGGCTCCTGAGTTTCATTTTCAGCTGTGACAACCTCCTGCAACACTCTGCCAGTGAAAATGGAGCTCAGGGGTGCACGTGGTCTTCCTGAGCTCCATTTTCATTTGCAAAGGCACCATGGGCTGGTCCTTTACGGTTCCATGGTGACCCCATGGGGCAGATTCAGCCCATGGCCCTTGAGTTTGACACCCCTTCACTAAACTATTAGTAGTTTAGTAAGAATACCTCAATCTTGTCATCATGAGTGGACTATCAAATTCAAGAGTGAGCATAGTAGCTCTGATCACCAATGAAACCATAGAGGATACTTTAAAAGGATGCATAAAACAGCATCAACCTCTGTTTAAGCAAATACCTACTCTCTTTATATGGAAGATGGCATACCAACCAGCTTTCATTCTAGTAGGGAGAACATCTATATGGCTAGGGATAAGACTCTTAACTTAACTTATAGAATCTTATAGACATTATTTCAGAGTGTCCAGGGAGTTAGAACAATTTATTTGTTTGAGAGATGATAGATTTGGCTTTCTCTATTTAATGTCTAAGTACCATGTCTTCTGCTTAACTACTACCAGATTTATTTATTTTTTGGCCTAAAATAAATAGAAATGGTATTGACAAGCCACATTGTGTCAATTGAGTGTAATACCATAATATATAAATTAATGTAACAAATATTGCAAAGAAACAATACCTTTTTCATATATTAAGTTTAGTAACCTAAGTGGTCACATTATTATTTTCTTTAAGATATAATAATTGAATATGAGATTCTTAAATATAGTAAATTGCAAATAATTTTGTATTCCTGCAGGATAAATTTCATTGTTGTATTTATGTAATCATCAGGACTAAACTGAATGGCATATTTACACTTTTACAGCTAATATGTCATAAGTATGGTAGATGCTTAATTCATCTTGAAAAAAATCATAGTGTGAATTTAGATGACTGAGCCTGATGCTGAGTGATGGAATTTAAATGAAAGCATTCTTAAAAGGCAGCTTCTCTGCCTCTGGTCCAGTGGTGGGTTTCAAAAAATTTTGAAACCTCTTCTATAGGTGTGGCCTGCTTTCCAGGTCCACTGGTGGAACCTCTTCTAACTGGTTCGGTAGACTTGCCGAACCGGTTCTACCGAATAGGTGCGAACTGGTAGGAACCCACCTCTGCTCTGGTCAAACATAAACATTCAGAAGGAGTGTAATTACCTCTGGGTAATTATCAGTTACTTTTCCACTTCAGACTTTTTAAAATGGGTTATCTTTCAGGGATATCTTATCAAATCCTAATTTGGGTGTGCAGTTTTACTGTTTGTATCTTCCTAATCAATAAGTAATCTTAAGGAATAAATATTAATATTAATAATAAATATTTCGTGTTATTGAACCACACAAGGTGGTTGCTAAACGTTTTCTTGCTTTACTTATTTGATCTAGAGATAATATTAATAACTATGCTGGC